CACAGGCCCCAAAGGGCTCCTCTTCGGCAGCCCTCGCTGCCCACCGATTGATCGCCCTCCCATTAGGCGACGCCAAACCTCCTTGATCCTCCAACTGTCTGGCTCCTACTCCTCCTCCTCTCCTCCTGCTGCTGCCCGCGGGCCTGCAGAGGCCGGGGTGGTGGCGGGCCTGCTCGCGGCTGCACCGATGGGGGCTTGTCAAGGCTGACTCCTCCTCGTGCGCGCCAGATCCTCCTTACTCCTCATTCCTCTTCCTCCTCTCCTCCTCCCTCGTCCTTCTCGTCTCATCCTCCTCCCTCGTCCGTCTCGTCTCATCCCCCTCCTCTTCCTAAACGTTGTACTCGTATTCGCCGTCCTCCTCCTCCTCCTCCTCCTACTCCTCCTACTCCTCCTCCTACTCCTCCTTTGCCGTGCAGGGTGTTGGGACGCGGCGCGTGGAGGCCACTACCCCACGGGGTGCAATTACTCACTGGTAGCATATCGAATAGCTCCTCCTCTTCCTCCTCCTACTCCGACTTCCCCATCCTCATCCCTCCTCCTCCTGCTCGCCCCCCTTCTCTTAATATGTTTATCTCCACTGTGTTCTCCTCCTCAACCTCATCCTCGCCCCTTCTCCCTCTTCCACTTCCTCCTCTCCTCCCCTTCTGGGACTATATCCGCCACCCGCCACCGTGTGTCTTGGTACGTGGGGCCATTTGTGCTTGTAGCGTAATTCTTCGCAGACAATCCTGGCACCCCTCATTACATCGCCCTTCCGTCGTTGCAATGATATTTGTGACGTCGGCCCCAGGTGCTCCCGATCACTTCCCCGGGGACGGCGTTCCATCCCGACCCGGTTGGCAGAGACGACGGAAGACAGGCCGTCACTATGGTTGCTGCCTGAATATCAAGGGTGGACGCCCCCGACCTGGGGTTGGACTCCCAAGACCTCTCCATCGGTGCTTGAATTTCTGCCGAATAGTTCGAGAGAATCGGGCCGTGGCGACAAGGGTTCTCCCAGACGAGCAGCGGTATCGAAATCTTGTCCCCTCCTGTTCCGTGGACGCCACCGATCTTGGGTTGGACTCCCTGGACCTCTCCGTGGGTGCACTCGGCTCAGGATTTCGATAATCTGGCAGTGGCGACGAGAGGCCTCCTGGACAGGATCCGAGTAGATGGGGTCATAGGACCACGCCGCATCGCAGATTCATCGCCGATACATCCGCGACGTCGGCGGTGCATCGGCGACGCAAGCGCGGAGCAAATCATGCTCCACAGCAGGCCGCTTCAGCGATGCATTGGCGATGCGGCGCTATCCTCCGACCCAGTCTGCTCGGACCCCATCTGGGAGAGCAGCGGTATCAGAAATATGTGCCTCTCCTGATCCTTGGACGCCCCCGACCTCCGTCGGCTCCCCCCCTCTCTAGGTGGCGTCGTCCGAACCCTACCCCCGCCAACCATCGATTCTCTTGAATCGGTGGGATGCGGGGGTAGGGGCTCGGATTGCGCCACATGTTTGACGAATTCCGAACCCTACAGTCGGGCTGCTGAAATAAGGACCGCTACAGAAGAAACGAAACCCCATCTTGGCATCAGAAGTGCCTGGGTGCACACAGAGGGCTAGAGGAACAATCACGCAATGACTAAAGGGACAGCGGCCCCCCCCTCACCCAAAGCGGTCCTCATTCCAGCGTCTTGCCTGTACCCCCCCAGCAAAACAAAATGGCCTGACTCATCGATCGGGGAAGCAGGACTTGGATTTCGCCGCCGGCTCCCGCCGAGGGCCTCCTGGAGCCTCGCGACGTTGGTCTCGCCGAGGGGCATGATGTGGCGGAGCATCCTCTTCAGCTCCTGCGCGCTGGGGAAGCTGCGGCTCAGGAACAAATTAGAAAAAGGAAGATAACCCGTGCAAACCAACGAATCGTCAAAGATGTTACAATACATCCTCCCTCCAAGTTCCCTCCTTCATAGGTTTCGTAAAACTTCACATTTCACTGCGGGAGGAACCCCGTTGAAGACAACCGTCTGAAAATCTCCAACCGTGCCTAAGCACCATGCTTGGGACTTCAACGCCACGAATCAACCGGACGCCTGATACTGCCACGGCCGGACAGTCTTAACCCGTGCCAAATGAATCACCTTTAAAATTGCTGAAACATGTTAAGACGAATCTGCGCGGCGCTGAGACGAGAACCGAAGGTTGACCAAACTCCTCCTCCTGCTCATCCTCCTGCCTCCTCCTCCTCGTCCTCTCCCCCCTCGTCTTTCTCCTCCTACTCCTCATAGACCTCCTCCTCCTCCTCCGCCTCCTCCTCGTCCTCCTCCTCCTCCTCCTCCGCATCCTCCTGCATCCCCCATTGAGCCTCCTGCCTCCTCCTGGGCCTCCTTGGGCCTCCCGTTGCCTCCTGAAGCCTCCGGGGGCTTTTGGAGCCTGGGTTCCTTCTCCTCCTTGGGCCTCGTGCCTCCTCCTGGGGGCTCCTGCTGCCACCTGGGTCCCCCTGAGGCCTCCTGGAGCATTCTGGGGCCTTCCGGGGCCTCCTGGGGCCTGGGTTCCCCTGGGACTTCCCGGGACATCCTGGAAAACTCATGGGGCTTCCATGGGTTTCCCTGGTGGCTCTGGGGTCTCCTGCGGCCTCTGAGGCCTCCTGGGGCCTCCTGAGGCCTCCTCAAGTCCTGAAGCTTCCTGTGGCTTGCTGAAGCCTCCTGGGGGGTCCTGTGACCTTCGGACGTTGTCCGGGTGTTCTTTTGGAACTTCCTCGCGATTCACTCACAAGGCTCCCGTTAGAGACTTCCTCCAAATTCAAACTCGGGGAACAGACTGCCGCCGTTACAAAATTTGGATCACCCCGCTTGGATTCCAACATGGACCTGGGGACCCTAGAAGGAGGGCGCATTCAGGCCAAAGGAGCCCAATAACCAACATGGAACGCGGGCCCCATAGACAGGAGGCACTCGTTTGAAACATCCTCACGAATTTGCTCCCTTCGGGTGCTCAAGTGCTATGCCTCGCGAAGTTTGCCGATGACCCGCGCGGAGTAACCCTGACCAAATATTAAGAACCCCCCTCGGTTATTCTTAGCACCCGGTTTTTAAAACATTCCAGGCGGGCGGTTTTCGCAGAACGATAAACTTTGCACCCGCCGCAAACAGAAAACAAAATCCATCGGTGGCCGCCCCAATAAGGCCAAGAGAGGGTGTCGCAACGAATGTCAAGGATCTAGCCCAGATCTCTGTGGACCTCTATCCCTGGTAGGCCCTGCTAAGCCCTGCAAGCCCTGCTAAGCCCTGCGGGCCGAGGGGCCTTGCTAAGCCATGTTAAGCCCTGCTAGGCCTTGCGAAGCCCTGCCAATCCTTGCTAAGCCCTGCTACGCCCTGCGCAGGGCCCTGCTAAGCCCTGCTAGTTAAGCCCTGCTAGGCAGGCCCTGCTCAGCACTGCTCAGCGCTGCTACGCCCTGCTATGGCCTGCTAGGCGTGGTCCGAGCTTGGTCCGAGGCAAAGCCCTGCGAAGTCCTGCTAAGCCCTGCGAAGCCTTGGTCCGAGCGCGGTCCGAGGCTAAGCCCTGCTAGGCACTGCTAAGCCCTGCTAAGCCCTGCTTGGCCTTGCTAGGCCTCGCTAGGCCTTGCTAAGCTCTGCTAGGCCCTGCTAAGCGCTGCTGAGCCCTGCTAAGCCGTGCTGAGCCCTGCTAGGCGTGGGCCGGAGCGCGGTTCCAAGTTCAGCCCTGCTAGTTAGCCTTGCTAAGTCCTGCTCAGACCTGCTAAATAAGCCCTGCTGTGCCTTGCTACGACTTGCCAAGCCCTCCGAAGCCCTCCTAAGCCCTGCTAAGCCCTGCAGGGCCCTGCCAAGCCCTGCTGAGCTCTGGGAAGCCTCGCGAAGCCCTGCTAAGCCCTGCTAAGCCATGCTAAATCCTGCTAGGCCCTGCTAAGCCCTGCTACGGCCTGCGCAGAGCCCTGTCAAGCCGTGCTAGTGAAGCCCTGCTGGGCAGGCCCTGCTCAGCCCTGCTACGCCCTGCGATGGCCTGCTAGGAGTCGTCCGAGCGTACGTGGTCCGAAGCTAATCCATGCTAAGCCCTGCTAAGCCGTGCTACGCCCTGCTAAGCGCTGCTAAGCCTTGCCTGGCCCTGCTAAGCCCCGCGAGGCCCCGCGAAGCCCTGCTATGCCTTGCTGAGCCCTGCTCGGCGTGGGCCCGAGCGCGGTCCGAGGTCAAGCCCTGCTAAGCCCTGCTCAGCCCTGCTCAGGCCTGGTCAATGAGCCCTGCTGTGCCCTGCTACAACTTGCCAAGCCTTGCTGAGCCCTGCGCAGCCCTGCTAGGCCCTGCGCGGCCCTGCAAAGCCCTGCTAAGCTCTGGGAAGCCCTGCGAAGCCCAGCTAAGCCTTGCTAGATCTTGCTAGTCCCTGCTGCGCCCTGTGCAGGGCCCTGCCCAGCCGTGCTGGCTTCGCCCTGCTAGGCAGGCCCTGCTCAGCCCTGCTACGCCCAGCGATGGCCTGCTAGGAATGGTCCGAGCGTGGTCCGAGGCGAAGCCCTGCTAAACCTGCTCAGCCCTGCTCGGCCCTGCCAAGCCCTGGTAAGCACTGATCAACATTGCTAAGCCCTGCTAAATCCTGCCAAGCCGTGCCAGGCCCTGCTCGGCCTTGCAATGCACCGCTAAGCCCGGCTAAACCTGCTGAGCCCTGCTGAACCCTGCTAAGCCCTGCTATGCCCTGCAAGGCCCTGCTACGCCCTGCTAAGCCCTGCTAAGCTCTGCGAAGCCCTGCTAAGCCTTGCAAAGCTAGGCGTGGTCCGAGCGCGGTCCGAGGCTAAGCTCTGTTAAGCCCTGCTAGGCGTGGTCCGAGGGCGGTCCGAAGTGAAGCCCTGCGAAGCCCTGCCTAGACCTGGTCAGCCCTGCTAAACAAGCCCTGCTGAGACCTGCCAAACCCTGCTACGCCTTGCCAAGCCTTGCTTAACCCTGCAAGGCCCTGCTAAGCCAGGCTCTGCGAAGCCCTGCTGAATCTTGCTCAGCCATGCTGAATCCTGCTCGGCCCTGCTAAGCCCTGCCAAACTATCCAAGCCCTGCTCAGCCCTGCTCAGCCCTGCCAGGCCTCGGTAAGCCCTGCTAAAACCTGCCAAGCCTTGCTAAGCCCTGCTGATTCCGGATAAGCCTTGCTAGGCCCTGCTAGGCCGTGCTAAGCCTTGATATTCTCTGCTAGGCTCTGCTACATGCGAAGCCCTGCTAAGCCCTGCTAAGCCCTGCTAAGCCTTGCTGATCCCTGCCAAGCGCTGCTAGGCCCTGCTGGGCACTGCTAAGCTTTGCTAAGCCCTGGTAGAACTTGCAAGGCCCTGTTACCTGCCGAGCCCTGCTAAGCACAGCTCAGCCCTGGAATGCACTGCGAAGCCCTGCTAAAACCTACCGAACTCCGCTAAGCCTTGCCAGGCCCGGGCAAGCCCTGCTGAGCTTCGACGAGCCCTGCGGCGCCCTGATAATCCCTGCTAAGCCCTGCGCAGCCCTGCTAGGCCCTGCTAAGCCTTGCTATGCCAAGATAAGCTCTGTCAGGACTTGCTAGGCCCCGCTAAAGTCTGCTAAAGTCTGCTGAGCCTTGCTCAGCCCGTCCAAGCCTTGGTAAGCCATAGTCTGCCATGCTACCTTGTCTTTGCATAGGCTTCATTGCAACCTGCATGGGCTGTCCTCGGGGTCCCTGGGCGCTCTCTCGGCCTTGTCCTCCCCTTTTCCTCCAGCTTCTCATCGCCCCCCTGTTCCAATGCGATTCCTATTGCAATCCCCCTGCGAAACTCGATGTTCGCAGGCCGCCCATCGCGGGGGGCACATCCGAGGGCAGCGCACCGCTCCGCACCGAGGCGCTACCTTTAGCACTGGGCGGTGCGGAAATTCCAGTGAGCCCGAGGCGTGGACACAGAGTGACCTCCTCCTCCTCCTCCTTCTCCCCCCCCTCCTCTTCCTGCGCGGCCCCTTTTACACCCCCCTGAGAGAAATCGAATCTCGTCGGCCTTCCTAGGGGGAGGTCCAGCCCAAGGTATCGCCCCGCCACGCACCCCAGCGGCATCTTAGCACCCACACGGCGCGGAATGTCCAAACAGCCCGAGATGCGCCCGCGACGCGATGTGAATGTGAATAAGTATGAACAGAAATAGCACATCATAAACCAAATACAAGCTAAGCTATGCGTAGCAATGCTCTCCTTGCTTAGGCCGTGCTCAGACCTCCCTGCTTAGCCCTGCTTCGCCCTTCGACGCCTTGCTAAATCTTGATAAGCCCTGCTAGGCCCTGGTAAGCCTTGCTAGGCCATGCGAAGCCCTGCTAAGCCTTGCTAAGCCCGGCTAGGCCCTGCTAAGCCCTGCTAGGCCCTGCTAAGCCATGCCACTCCCTGCTAGCCCCTGCTACCTGTAAGCCCTGCTGAGAGCGGCTGAAATCGGCTAACCACTGTTAGCCCCTGCTAACCACTGCTAACCACTGCTGAACTCTGCTGAATTCTGCTGAGCACTGCTAGGCCCTGCTCGGCCCTGCAAATCCCTGGTAGGTTCTGCTAACCCCTAAGCCCTGCTAAGCTCTGCGGAGTCCTGTAAAACCATGCGGGGCCGTGCCAAGCCCTGCGGAGCCCTGCTAACCCTGCGAGGCCCTACTAAAACCTGCCAAGCCCTGCTAAGCACAGCTGAGCCCTGCTAAGCCCTGCTAATGCCTGATGGCTCCTGCTAAGCCCTGCTAGGCCCTGCTCGGCCCTGCTGCGCCCTGCTAAGCCTTGCTAAGCTCTGCTGAGCCCTGCTGAGGCCTGCTGAGCCCTGCTGAGGCCGCTAAGCCCTGCGGAGCCCTGCTAAGCCTTGCGGAAAACTGCTAAGCCATTCTAAGCCCTGCTGGGCCCTGAC